ATCATCATTGCATAACAAATTATGAAGTACTTAGCCTTTGTGCCTAAGTCACCCAAATACTTTCATTATCAAGTCATCAAACTTTACACCATGAGATACAACGACTAATGCATACACTTGATTAAGCTCACTCAACATGAACCATCGCTTAATTCATTCTTTTCATCTCTTTTCCATCTAGATAAGTTCAAAAAACTTCATTTTACACCAACACTACCTTCATTCATTTTTCAATTCTTTCTTTTTCGGGAGAAAGTCGGTACCCTCCAGAAAAATAACGATTTTTTTTATTTTCTACATTTTCAAGTGCACGAGCACAATCATTGTACAATGGAATCACGAGTAAATGCACATTGAGTGATGTCGTGTCATCACATCGAGTTGAGTCTACACATTGAGTCATGTCATACCACATCGAGTTGAGTCTGCACATACATGTCACATCACATTTAGTCGAGTTGATTTAAACACATTGAGTCACACAATGAGTCAAGTAACACCAAGTCTTGGGTCAACCTCAAGGAAACTATAAATATGAGCAAAGTCTTATAGTCCAAAATATAGATACAGGTACACTAAGTCCCTAGCGGACGAGCAACCTTTACAAAACATTTGAGGCAATTTGATTAAGGGCAAATGAGCTAAAAGGTGTGAGCAACAACAGCGAAGCCGAAAGAAAAAAAAGAGTGCAAAAGCTCTGACCCGATTCCAGCGCATCGCGACAGAACCTATCGCAGCGCAACAAATCCGGCGCAACATGATACACCTTGACGCGAAGCGACAAAGTTGTCGCCGCGCGATAATAGTTGACGTGGCACGTCAGTCTTGAGGTTCTTGTAGAACGATCGGTTGTATAATGATTACCCTACTTGAAGCCTCAAAACAAAAGCAACTTGATTTGATTGATGATCAGCCCGATGACAATCATATTTGATTGATGATCGGCCTGATGACGATCACATTTTGATTACACATTGAGTGGCCACCTTCAATTAGTAATCGGCCCGATTACAATTTTGATTGATGATTGGCCTGACGACGATCACTTTATTGATTGAGTACGCCTAAACATTGGCAAAGCATACTTGATTAAAGCACCTAAACATTGGCTCGTTACACTTAAACGCGCCTAAGCACTGGCAGATTATATTACACCTAAACATTGGTTGAGCATATCTAATACACTTAAGCATTGGTCAAGTCCACCTAAGCATCGTTTGGGAGTATTTCATTACACATAAGCATTGGTTAATCCCATCTAAGCATTGGCGAGGTTTGGGGATCGCTAAGTATTGTGGTATTCGACGACTTTCCCTAAGGTGTGGAGGTTGTCAGCATTAGTTGGTCCCGTCTAAGCATTGGCAAGATTTGGAGATGGCGACATACTGCGGTCTTCGATGGTGTCCCTAAGCATTATGGAGATTATCAAATGGCGAAGCACTGCCACAACATCAACAACAGAGATGAAGCACTACCACAATAACAACGGCAAAGCACTGTAGTGGCGAAGCACTGTCGCAATATTGAAGATGGCGAAGCACTCTCACCTTCGGTGGTATTCCCTAGGATGTAGAAGATTGTGATTACAAATGAAGATAGCGAAACAATGCTACCTTCGATGGCGTTCACTAAGCATTGTGGAGGTTGTCAAACAAATTGGATCTGATAAGATGCGTGTACTCGAATGTGCAAGATACGCGTTTCTAACTCCCTTATTTGTAGAACTAACATTTTTCTACAGGTATCAGCGTTAAAAAGTATGATTTAGGATCGGAGAACGTTTTGAATCATTCTCCGTCCCTATCAATCTACTTTGACTAGCATTTTCAAAACTTGCGTTTCTCCAAACTAGTCAAAGTGGGGGCTTCTATAGACACGTGATTGTGTCTCCCCAAAAACCAAACCCAGTGATGAGTACCTTTCACGTGTTTGATTTACGAATTTATCCAGTTTTTGAAAAGATAAAGATTTAAGAATTTGGGGAGACACAAATAAGATTATGATTGTGTCAAGTTAGGTGAAAAGCTGAAGAATCACGTGAATTTCCTTTAGACTTGACCATCTCTAACCTTTCCTTAAACGTTTTAATTCAAAATCATTCATTTCGTGCCTTTAAACCCAAAATCATTTATTTCGTGTCTTTGAAAATCATTCATATCGTATCGTCTTTATAAAAACGTCCAAATAAGTTTATTTTGGTCCATAATCTGGGTCCAATAATTGCTTAGTTGGATGGGGTTTGAAAGGATCTTTCCAACGATATATTGTAAGCCCAAATCCGAGTTATAACGAAGAGGTTATGGCCAAAATTTTAAATTGAGCCTAAACCGAGCCTTACTTACGACCCAATGACCATGTGGAGGGTCCATTAACCTTAAACATCATTTTTAAATCCCTTAGGATTTATTATTAGCTTCTAGAATCCTCTAGAAGATTCTATTTTATCCTGTTTTTGAAAAGATAAAGATTTAAGGAGTTTACTTCAGATAAAACACTTGTTTTTTCAATGATTTTAATAATGATAAAATTAGGATACGTGCGGATATTCGATTAACCCAAGTCGATTGGGAGTCGGATTTCGTACGAATCTTTTCTTCTAAAAAGTATCGTTGAGCGATAGAAAAATCGCACAACGATAGACATATCGCATCGCGATAAGAATATCGCGCAACGATATTCCTATCGTGTCGCGATGTGATCCGTTTTACTTTGAGTCAAATTCTGGCTCTTTTCTAACCCTTCGACCCTCTTTTTTCTCTATTATAGAGGTCGTTTTTCCCCGTTTTCAATCATCAACAAGCTTAATCACCAACAATCATCATCTAATCCCTCTCTCTAAGCTATAAGCTTTTCTCTCTCTCTCTTTCTTTCTTAGCCTAGCCAAAACACATTCCAACACCTTCTCGATATTATACACCATACTTCCTTCACGAGCTCTGAATACTCCAAGCCAATCTGGTAGTTGCCTTCGACCTCGACATAAAGGTTGATAGTTCAGAGGGTTTGGTCCCAAATCTGTATTTCAATTCTTATTTGATTTATTTGGTTTGATTTATTTAATCTTTTTTAAAGTTAGTAATGTGTGTATTGTTTTGATAGAAAGAGATATGAGGCATCAAAGAAAGTAATTCGATTACTTAATTATTCTATTAATTCCTAGTATCATGTTAGGATATTGATTTTGGTTTCCTAGTATCATGTTTAGGGTGTTAATTACTATTATCATGTTTCTAGTATCATATTTAGGATAAAGCTTTTATCTTTATTATTTAGTGACATGCTAGGGTTTGTTATTAATCCGTTTAGTATCATGCCTTAGGCTTAATATGATTTTAATTCAAGTGATCGCCAATAATAGATTTATTTGTGCATTAATCAACCAACGTAGATTAAACAAGTTTAGGGCTAATTTTATGTATGTATGTTGATCTTAAAGCGCACATGAATATCATAAGAATTAAATAAAGGTCGATTTAGGCGTGTTCAATCTCCTTTAGGTTGGATTCGTACCATCATCCCCGAATATCCAGTCATGGTTACGGACTACTATGAAGTTAGCGAGCACCGTGATCGTGAATGGGGTGTAACCTTCACACTCGTGAACAGTTTACAAGTTCCTAAAACTTGTTGGCGACTCTTTTATCTCTAGTTATTTTCCCTTTAGACGCCACCGTGCTTAAACGTAAGATCACAATGGGGCTAAAAGTTGATGTTTGAAATATTCCCTATAGTTTTTGGCGACTCCACTAGGGAGTATTTCTAATTTTGATTCCTAAATTTTTTTTTGGCAATTGACTTTAAAATGAGTGAATGAGACTTGGAAAATTCTAGATACCCATTGTGCGTAATTTTGATTAACATTGTTGCATAAACATAAAAAGTTCTGCATTGGAAAGACCATCTGAAATGCATCAAAAACATAGGATTTTTATACGTAGGAAAAGTCGGATTGTGATGCGTGTCATCGTGCTAAGCATTCTAGGAGTAGTTTTTCTTTAAGTGAAAATAAATCAACTCAAATTTTCGAGTTACTTCATTGTGATTTATGGTGTCCTTGTGACCAAACCTCCTCTTGTGGAGCTTGATATTTTTTAACTCTAATGGATGATTTTTCTAGATCCGTTTGGCCGGGTTTATTTATTAATTGACAAAAAGAAAGTTTTTCGGATGTTTATGTCTTTTATTGGTATGATTGACCAACAATTCTCATAAGAAATTAAAATTGTTCATAGTGTAAATGGAACCAAATATAATTGTATGCAAGATTATTTTTTGGCAAATGGGATATTGTTTCAAAAATCTTATGTTGGCACTCCTTAACAAAATGGGAGGATTGAACGAAAACATAAACATATCCTAAATGTTGCTCGTGCTCTTAGATTTCTAGGTGGTTTGCCGATTGATTTTTGGGGAGAGTGTGTATTAGTTGCTGCACATGTTATTAATAGAACTCCGTCTAGCATTTTGAATAAGCGTACTCCTTATGAGGTACTATTTGGACATCCACCATCTTTTAAGAAATTACGCGTATTTAACTCCTTGTGTTTTGCTCATAATCAACGTGCAAAGGGAGATAAGTTTCCTAGTAGGAGTATGAAATGCATCTTTGATGGATATTTGTTTGGCAAGAACGGTTGGAGTCTTTTTGACTTAGACACTAAGGAATTTTTTGTGTCGAGGGATGTCAAATTTTTTTAGAATGTATTCCCATACTTAGATACGGTTACTACCAATTTTGTGCCTGAAAGTACGTAACATGAGGTGGGCGTGAGTACAAATTTTTCGGAGTATATATTTGATTGTGAATAGGAATTGTAGCCCCAACCAGCAGGTTCCGTAACCACCTTGCGGTATACCACTCCAGACGGCAGGCATGCTGCGGAGTCTGCTGTCCAGCCGCAAGAAAAGGAGCAGCAGCAGCCCTTGGTGCCGATTGCAGGGGGGCATCTCCTCAGTATGAAGTATGCGACATAGGGGATGCTTGCGAGGATGATGATAATATGGGTCATGGTCTTCAGCTAAAATTCCCTAATGTGAAGTACAGAGATTTCGTCACTCATACAGTGTTCACGCAAAGTCCTTTCCCCGTCTCACCTAAGTCTACATCTCCACCTCCCTCAAGTATGTCGTATCCTATAACTTATTATGTTAGTTGTGACAAATTTTCTATGAAACACCAAAATTTATTGCAGCTGTTACAGCAGGAAAGGAGCCTATCGCCTTCAAAGAAGCAATGATAGATGAAGGGTGGTGTAAGGCTATGCAAGAGGAAATTCGTGCCTTAGAAGACAATGGTATATGGGTTATGGAAGACCTTCCCCAAAATAAGAAAGGTTTAGGGCATAGGTGGGTATATAAAATCAAGTACAAGTCTGATGGTAGTATTGAAAGATTGAAGGCTCGATTGGTTATCTTTGGCAATCATCAGGTTGAAGGGATAGATTATGTTGAGACTTTTTCCCCTATAGCAAAAATGGTGACTGTTCGTGCTTTTCTGGCAGTTGCATCTTCTAAAAATTAGGAGCTGCATCAAATGGACGTACACAACGCATTTTTGCATGTTGACCTCGATGAGGAGGTTTATATGAAGCTTCCTCCAGGATTCAATTCTGATTCTCCTGGTATGGTATGTCGTCTGAAAAAATCTTTATACGGCCTAAAACAAGCGTCTTGATTTTGGTTTACCAAATTGGTTACCGCCTTGAAGAGGTATAGATTTTTGTAGTCTGACTATTCATTCTATACATATACTAAGGGTGCCATATAATTAAGTGTCTTGATTTATGTTGATGATTTAATAATTTCTAGGAATGATTCCGCTGCAATTAAGGCCTTTAAAGATTATCTTAGTTCGTGTTTTCATATGAAAGATCTTGGAGCTGTGAAATTTTTTCTTGGTATTGAAGTTGCCCGTAGTTCTAAAGGGTTATTTCTTTCCCAACGAAAATATGCTCTAGACATTGTCAATGATGCGGGTCTTTTGGGTAATAAGCCTGCTCCAACTCCGTTAGAATAAAATCATCATCTTGGGCGTGCAAATGGAGCAGTCTTAGCTCACCCTGAGCACTACCGTCAATTGGTGGGACGTCTCATATACTTGGTTATTACTAGTCCCGATTTGGATTATGCGGTACACATTTTATCGCAATTTATGAATGAGCCAAGACAAGAACACTGGGATAGATGCTGCATTGCAAGTAATACAGTACTTGAAGGGTACCCTGGGACAGGGAATATTACTTCGCTCAGATAGTGAGCTATCTTTGAGTGGTTGGTGTGATTCATATTGGAAGCTTGTCCTTTGACTCGGTACACTTTCACAGGTTGGTTGGTATTTTTGGGGCAGTCTCCGATTTCCTAGAAGACTAAAAAGCAAGGCACAATTTCTCAATCATCCGCCGAGGTGGAGTATCGCTCTATGGCTGCGATCACTTGCGAATTGTAGTGGTTGAAAGCTCTATTATGGAGTTTGGGTGTGCATCATCCAAAGGCTATACCTTTTTATTGTCATAGTAAATCCACGTTGCATATTGAGCAGAATCCGGTTTTCTATGAACGTACGAAGCACATTGAGATCGATTGCCACTTTGTGCGGGATGCAATTCGTGATGGTTTGATTGGTCCTTCGTATGTATCGACTACGGATCAATTGGCCGATGTCTTTACAAAGGCTTTGGGCATACAACAATTTGATTATTTACTTAGCAAGTTGGGCATTCATGACTTACATGCTCCAACTTGAGGGGAAGGGGGGTATTAGGATAATTATGGGAGAATATATTTGATTTATATGATATATATATGATATCTATCTAAGTTAGGCATATTTCCTATCCTACTTGGCGTAGGGTTAGGGATCTTATTTGTATAAATATTGCTATGCACACTGAATAGAAATCATATGCTTCTACTGCCTATCTTTGCCTATCTTTACACAATCCCACACCTTATTACCAGCCATATAAAACATTAAGTAAAAACTTAGTGTGATGATTAATTTGAAATAAAAAATGGAGAAATGAAGAATATGAATGATATTTTGTTACGAGAAATATATTTCGTCAATATACTTTGAATCACAACATAATTCTTTACAGGAAATTGCATTGTTTTTATTGGTACACATAGGACCATCAACATTGAAAACCCTATCTAAAGAGTAGAAGTTATTACATACAAAAGAGAAGTCTAGAAATCTTAGGTTGTATAATTTTGACGGTTCGACACCACATTTGCAATAATTGAAATGGTTATTGGTATGACTTCTAATGTCTAAAGCTATTAGCTATATCTGCAAGCAACTATTGTAGATAGCTTGTGGATTTAAAGTTAAACCCGCCCCATATCCACCCGCATTCATCTACCCACTTATTTTCCAGCCTTATAACTACTTTATAAAAAAAAAAATTCACATTGGTTCAAAAAAAAAAAAGAAAAAAAAAAGAAAACAAAACAGAAATTCTCATTTTATTTTTAATACTCCAAGATAAGTGTGAATACGCCCCTCCAACACAAGCTTGTGAGCTAATGTAAGTGGAAAAGAGTGACATGAGAAGTGATAACAAGGTAAAATGTCCCTCTCATAATAATAAATTAGCATGTCAATTTCAATAATTGTCTTCACTAACTATAATCTACATCCTCGCTACATGTGGTATACTAGAGGTACATCAGGTGGCCAACTATATCGTATGTACTGCCTTATTTGACTACAATCACATACACAGATACACTCATAAGTCATAAATATTGACAAAATTAAAGATATAACAAAACGATAAGTGTCCAAATGAGATGATAATACTCGTAATCAGTAGAGCTTACTAAATTTAAAGTAAGCAACAAAATTGAAAAGGAGCATGAACATGCTAGAAGGATACTCGTTCGTTGACTTGCTAAGGCCTTTGTTTGATGCATATACAACACGTATTACGGAGTTGGCGCCACTTCTCACATGTACTAATAGTCCAATCCATTGGTTATTCAATTTAAAACCAAACATCCAATAATTGAGTCTTTTGCCAAACATTGATTATAATTTTGTGCTTTAATTTTCTTAACAAGCTCTAAGTAAGATCAGTTTTTGTAAAATATGAGTGAGGAACACATAGTGGTGGATCCAAGAATTTAGATATGAGGATACGCAAAATAAATACTGTTGATTAACTCGATTTTTCGACTGATTTAATATAACTTTATTAGTTTTGACCTTTACAAAATTAAAACAAAATTATTGCAAATTCGTCTAAAAAATTAATATCTTTAATGATTTTATTTATTAATTCTATGCCATTAATACAACTTTCAAAACATTAGCCTTTTATAATTTTTTAAATAAATAATTAAAGATATAATGGTATAATATGTATAAATATTGACAAGTATAAAACTAACTTTACAATTAAACAAGAATAGAGGAAGTACTTTGGATGTATTGCTTTGAATAATTGGTTTGAATTCATTTTGATTATATGCACATGGGACATGGCCTTTTAAGTTTTAATAGATTACTCACCTCAAAACAAATTGCCCCATTTTCCTTTTAAAATATCCTTAACAGAATTTATTTATTTATTTATTTATTATTTTTTTTTTGAAAAGTAAGATACAGGAAAATTAGGAACGTCTTCTCGCAAGACTATAACCTAATTTATCGAAAAGTGAAAAATAAGAAAATTTGCTATCCATAAAGGGGTCGATATCTTGATCGATCGGGATAGAATAGCCTAGAGAGGCAACATAATCTACTGCTCGATTTCCTTCACAATAGATATGCTGAGAATCAAAAGCAAAGAAAGACTCCAGAATCCTTTTGATGTCATCCATGAGCAGATGCAGCTTCCAAGGGCAGCGGAATTTTCCTTATAAAATATTAATAATGGTTAGATTATCTCCTTCAATGAAAATATGGGAGGTGTTATGGTCTCTTGCTAAAATAAGACCATTACAAAAAGCAATAGCTTCAGCCAAAAAGGTCGGGCAAGAGCCCAAATTATAAGTGTGACTAGCTATGTGATTACCTAGGTTGTCACGAAGGACCACACTAGCCGTCGTCGAGTTATGTAAAGCAGAGTCATCAAAGTTTAGTTTACAAAATCCCAGGGGGGGAGGGGACCAAGAAATGAAAAAAGGGGTAGGAGGGGAAGTAGAGGAGTGAGCTGGAGGATCAGTAAAATGGAGATTATCCAAGAGAGAACGGGCTTGTCATTCTTGAAAAAGGGTAAAAGCACGACAAAAAATGGTATCAACGATAGGGGTAGAATTCTTACAGATAAGAGCATTTCGACATTTCCAAATGCTCCTAAACAGAAGGGCTATCTTTGGAATATCTCTAGGTGAAGAAGCTTTAAGAGAGCGAAAAAGGTCATGGACTTACAAAGAAGAGACATGGGAGCCGTCCTAGTTACGCACAGCCATAGAAGACCAAACATCCCTAATAAATGGGCACGAAAGAAAAAGATGGTCTTGAGATTTGGAAAGGGCAAAAATGGGTGAGACATCAATATTCTAGGAAACCAAAGTTTGTCTAGTAAGAAGACTGTTTAGGAGAATTTTTCATAATAAAAATCATAATTTTGGGAGGGATATCTAATTTCCAAATCCATCGAAATTCCCATTTAAATGGTAAGATAGAAGGAGAGTGGGCTAACCAAGTTCAAGATTTAACCGAAAATTGCCCATCCTTTGAAATTCTCGAACAAGGTTCATCTGGAACAGAGGAGGAAGGAAGCGGAATACCTCGAATGAGGTGAAAAAGATCATGTGGGAGACAAGATTGCAAGAGGGAAACATTCCATGAATTGTCATCAGTGATAAACATATCTATGGTAATATCAATATTGAAAATAGTATCCGGGTCCAAATCCAATAATGCTATGATATTAGTGTTAGCGCACCAAATGTCTACTCGGAAGAGGATAGAAGAACCATTACCAATCTTATAACGGTGTCCTCTAATTAAGAGAGGCCATGTTAGTAGTAATTTTTTCCAAATCCGAGAGTCTTTAGACTGAGAACGGTAAGTCAAAAAATGGGATTGTCTAAGATATTTTTTTGTAACTGATTTAACCCACAAGTTAGTAGGATCAGTAAGAACTTTCCAACCTAACTTAGCCAAGAAAGCAGAATTAACGACATTAGATTTACGCAAGCCTAAACCGACTTGACTTTTAGGTTGATAAATAGTATCCCAAGCAACCATAGGCATACCCGCCTTAGACGGAGATTGCTTCCAAAAGAAATCATGATTAATTTTATCTAAAGAAGAGGTAACAAAAGACGGTAAACGAGTTGTAGTCATGGCATAGGAAGGGATAGCCTCAAGATGACTTTGAATTAAAATCACCTTGCCAGCTTTAGAAACTAAATTTGAGGCCCAGGAATGCATTTTCTGATCAGCTTTAGCAATAAGATTCTGAAAAATATCTTTAGTATAACGTGAAGAGGTAAAGAAAACCCTTAAATATCGACCAAGGAAGGATTTAGGGGTCATATTAAAGAAACCCGCCAAAGAGGATTTAG